TCCTGCTGCTGAAGCACCCCAGCAGAAGCACAGAGGAGCACGTGCACCCTGGATCTGTGCACGGGGTGAGGGCATTCTGCTGCTGCAGGCTGGGGTCAGGGCGGCACCAGGCTCTTATTGGAGTGGGGCTGCGCTGCATGCAGAGTGGATGGCAATGCTGAGAGGGGGAGCTATGGGGTAGGCTGTGGCCACCCCAAAACTTGCTGCAGCCCCCCCAGTGCCACTGACGCCTGCCTCATGTGTTGCCCCCAGCTGCACCCCACCCTTGCCCTGCACACAGATCTGCGGGATATGTGCCCCTCTGTGCCTCCCCAGGGTACATCAGCGGTGGAAGCCACCACTCCTACACCCCCACCCCTGCAGCCCCAGACAAGCCACTCATGGCTCCATCCCATGCCCTGCCCCCATTCCCTCCCTTACCTCTAGGGCCTCTATCTGCCCCCCGCCTTCCATGCCCCTTTTCCCCCAACAGACCTACCAGCCTAACGCTGCTCTCCAAGCTGCTCAGCTGTATATCGGCAATCAGATTGGTATTGGCCGATATGGCTCGTTGACAATCAGACATTGGTATCAGCCAAAAAAAATCTTTATCGGTGCACCCTTAATCATTTAACTTTAAAATGTTATGTTACTGCTTTCACATGCAGTAGTAACTTGATTAATGGTTGTTTTTGTAGGGTCTTATGTCTACTATGTTAGGCAAATCTTAATGGAAATGGACAAATTGATGATGAAGGGCAGAGTGATTCAAGTTGGGGTTCAGGCCAAACAAAGTCACTGTCTTTACTCGCACCATACCCACTATTTCCCCCAAAAATGGCCTTTCAAAATTGAGATATGCGTCTTAAGTGGGGACCCCAATTTTCTGTTCAGAATAGTGCTCAGAACAGTGGTATTTCTGTTCAGGCAGCTGGGGGAGTCGAGTGGCTTTATGGTTTATTACAGTCTACTTGGCTCCTACTAATCACTTTCCTTTTTTGGACCCACTCTCATTTTTTATGGTCTTACTGTTCTGCTAATCAAGCTACTCTATCTTCTTTGCCGAAGAATTTGCAGTTTATCTGCTCCCAGTCTCTTCCCGTATTTTACAACTCTGTAGACTTTGGGGTTTTTTTTTTGTTTTTTAGCGCTTTTCAAAATCCTAGATGTGCTCATGGAGGTTAGTCTTCAGCAGTTAGTTTCAGCTTTTGGCTGAGCAGCCAAGAGCTGCTGACAGTTCAGCTATGGAAGGGTTAGAATTATAGCTTTTGCCTGTGCAGGAAAAGGAAGGTGAGTGAGCTGAAGATTAGGCTCTGCCCCTGCTGTATGCAGTCATATTTTTAGAAAGGCAGAGAAATAAAACATTTTTCAGAGTTATGGTATGTCTTGGAGGCATTTGGCATGTGTGAAAATACAGTATTTGAGGATAGCTTTTGACCTTGCCCCATTGGCCCTAGTAAGATAATTACGAAGGTAAGAGTGCATGATTTTTATTAGGGGTATGTGGTGACTTTTCTAGCAACTAAGCAGACTTATTTTCAACTTAACTGTAGCTTGCATAATAAATTCTGTTGGGGGGGCTTTTTTCTTTGCAGCTGTACATATTGAGAAGATAACACTGAAAGGCATACCAAGGAAAAGGGCTGACAAACATTTGGAATACACCTTTAAAGTAAGTCCGTAACATTTGGAATTTTAAAATAAATCTCTTATGAGCCTGGCAAGCTTTTAAAGATATTACATGATTATTTAAACAAACTACTAGTAGGGAGAGAAATTTTAACTAATATTTCTTCCAAGTAGCATTATATTCCAAGATTTTCTGGACTTCCTTCATTAAAGTCTGGAGCAGGTGGACTCCCTATAATGGTGTAATCCTGAGGTGGGATGGTACAGTTAACTGGGCCCCAAAATGTTTTATGCCCGTGTGCCCTGCCAAGGGTCCTGGGAGCCCTGCCAAGGGTCCTGGGAAGGGCTCTGCTGGGTGTGCCCCTGACCCCTTTTACTATAGCTGCAGACAGTCGGTGAAAGGTCTGCTGATCTGGACTCTGGCTTCCCCAGGCAGCTAGCCTGAGGCTTGCCACTGGAATTACAGACTTCCCTGAGGCTGTGGGCTCCCTGCCCTCAGTCAACAATTGTTAAACTCAAATTGGCAATAAAGAGTTTGTGAAAAAGGTTGCACTTTCTGTGCTTGTGATTCTGTCCCCACCATCCATTGTCCACATAGCAGGTCCTGTGTGTCCCGCTAGCAATCAGGTCTGGGCATGGGCTGGCCTGCAGGATTCCTGCCAGTCAAGGGGAAGCCTCCCTGCCTGCTCCGTCAGCCCCGGGCAGCCTCTCCTAGGTGATTTTCTCTCTCTACAGGTGCAGGCCCTTCTGTCTGGTTGGGCAGATGAGCCCCCAGTTGCCCATAGCTGGGAGCGTTGCCCCACCCGGGGCTGTCTACTGCAGCTGTGCTGGCCATGCAGGCTGCCAGCTGGTCCATGCAGCCACAGCACAGCTGTGTCTGTTTTGGGGGGGATGGGGAGCCATTCTGGGCTGGCAGTGGCTTGGGCACGCTGCTCCCTACAGTGACGGGGGCAGGCCCTGTTACAGCGCATCACTCTAGTACAGTTGGCCACTCTTGAATTGAGGCAGCTCAGATAAAGATTTTATTTCCTCAAGAAATAAACTTCAGGTTGTGTATAAGTTGGTACCCAAAGTTAATGGATTTCCTCAAAAGGGTATTCCTCACTATTTCTGTTTTAAAAAGAGGAATTGATGCTGAACTGCTCATGAGTGTTCATGCATGGAATGTGGACTTCACTGCACATGTATTTAAACTTAACTAATCATAGGATGCATGGAAAGAGGTAGTACTGTCTAGCTTTTTCTTCTTCTTTTTCTCATCAGGTAACCTGGTCTGATCTTTCTGTAACATGTGTAACAAAAACACACCAGGAGCTGCAAGAATTCTTATTAAAAGTATGTATAAAAGTTAACTTTGGTACAGTAAAATGTTGGCCATTATGTTAAAACTTAGAAGAGGATTGTAGATCTTTCATCTTAATTGCAGGAATCGGAGAATGCTCTTTGTTCTATTTGGGTGAGGGTCATTGTCTTGATACGTTTTGTGGTGTTGTAGCTAGCTCCAGGTGATTTGAGAGAGAAAAAGTAGTTAGTTTAAATTTTTGGTTGGAAGACTTCTGGATCCATGAGTGCTTTGAAGGGTTCTGCAAGACCTTCCTTGGACCCTTAGTCATTTCTCATGTGCTGAAAAGCCTAACCAGGCCTACTTGGACATTTCATTCCATCTGGTATCTCATCTTAAGATCCAGCCATTAAAGGTCTGGATTCATGCAACATACTTGACAGTATATATTGAAATTAAGTGGTTAACTTAAAAAGAGACTATTTCAAAAACTTGCCTCTCCAGATGGCTTTTACACACCATGACTGTTTTGGTACTGTGGGTGACCTGCTTGCACCAAGTCTATTTAGAAATCCTAATTAAGTTCTAAAGGCTGCCCTTGAGCAATTTGATCCGTTTTCTGCCTGGTATTAAACTGCGCTTCAGTTCAAGAATTGCTTAATTCATTGCCAGTGAATTGGTAGGTAGTGCCCAGGTAGCATTCTGGATTCAGTTCCTTGCAAAGTTGCAGAAGGAACCTGCTAACAGCCACATCAGTGGGATTTCAGTAGTTCTATTGATCTAAAGGTATAATAGAGATTAAAAGTTGCATTACCATTGTTCAGTTAAACTTTGGAAAATGCGTTATGTGATTAACTAAAAGGGAAAAGTATCTAACATTTAAATTAAAATAAAACTGTATCCTCATTGGTAGAGAAATACCTCAAATCAGAATCTCAGGTATTTCAAATAATCTTGAATAATATGGAGGAACAACTTAAGGCTATATATATTGTGCCATAGTATTGAAATGGTGATTAATGCAGCGGAATGTGTCTCTCCCAAGTTGTAACATTGTCTTGAATGTGTTTAATACTGTATATAAGCCATTCACAGCTCTAACATGTCTCAAGTTTTATTGTTAAAATAAATGCCATGGTTAGCAGCAAAGAGAATTTTTTCAGTGAGGTAGCAAATCTAAGGGGCATGCTGCCACTGAGCAGCAGTGCACAGTTAACTGTAAGTGCTGCCGCCCTTCTACCCCCTTCCCCCCGCCCCACCACCACTTTTTTAGGGCAATGTGTCTTACCTAGTTAACTGAAAATTGCATATTCTCAACCTGCTTCTAAGTCATTCTGTTTATTTTGCAGATTTACTGTTTTACAGTTTTTTCCCCTCCTTTTTCAATGGGGAAGACTTATGTAAACGAGATGCTGAAATTGGCTGTAAAAATTACCTGTGGTCATCCTCTGTGCCTCAAACACTGGTACTTTAATGAAACTCAGTGGTGGTAGTTAACTCAACTTTTACTTTTGAAAATACTGTACTTTGCAGTCTTAACGCCTGTATCCTGACTATTGTGTCTAGAATGGGAACAGTGAGTCTGAATAGCTTATTATATAGCAATAGCATGTATAAAGAACTTTATAGTGATAAGATTTTTCATATGAAAACACACAGTTTTGTATTTTGAACCCTTTCACAAGCTTCCAAAGGAGCTGTCTTCTGAAGCGTTTGATAAGACTATTTTACGGGCACTAAATCAGGGTTTTCAGAAGAGAGAAGAAAGGCGCCATACAGATCTGGAGCCCATAGTAAGGTAAGGATTATAGAAGGCATATTAAACTATTTTTAGGAGAACCAAAGTCAAATTTAATTATTGGGCACTATATGATACTCTGTGAATAAGGTCTTCGTCAGTGAAGTACATTAAGACGTGCATCATTACAAGAAAATAGAGTTCAGTATGTTTAACTTCCAAAGGTTATAGCTTGTTCTGTCGAGTTTTTTCTTTTCTCTCCCTTGCTAATTCATTTCTCTTTTAAGTCAGAGGTGTATTCCTCCTCTGACCAAATTCAGTCATTTTTGCATTTTACTTTCATCCCATTCCATCTGTTTATCTTTCTGTCTTCTCCTGTTTCTTGGGAATGGGTGGACAAGAATAACGAGGCTACAAAATTCCGTATTCATAGTGTCATAGAGTGCATTTTGGTCCCAGATAAACCAAGTTGATTTTAATTAGGGCTGGGTGATTTTCTTTGTTGCTTAGCATATTTGCCAAAAAATGTGCTCAATGTCTTTGAATTATGTTGGCCAAAGTATTCAGAAAACCAGTAAAGATTCTGGTGGTGGCAGCTCTCAATTAGTAATTGTGATCGACTTCAACAGCCATAAGACGCAGGCAGTTTAAAATGGAGGTATGGTTGGAGAGTACGTGACCAATTTGAGGTTTAAAGTAATGGAAGTTGTGATGTGTGGTTTCAGAACAGCTGCAAAGCTGTTCAGTGAAAGTTTTGCTTTAAAGAAATCCAAGCATCTTTATAGTATAGAAGTGCAGTTAAGATACCTACACATCGGCTGTCTTGGATGCCATGCCACTATCACAAGGTTATGTTTTAGTCATAGTTTATTTTTACATCCCTGAGGGTGTCATTTCTCAAGCTTGTCTTAACAATACGCTTTCATTGCCCCAGTATTGGTTAGTCAACCCTTTTCTCTTCTAAACAGTTAATGTAAAGCTTTGGATATATAGTCCAAGGTCTGTCTTATCACCATATCGTAGGTTAATTCTAGGGGTACACTGATAGAGATTTTAGAGCCCGATACGATACGATTTTTTTTGATACAGCTGCATGTAGCTGGTAAGTCTGTGGTGGAAGGGGTGTGGGGAGCGCAGATCAACATCATCCCCATCCTCGCCCCCACCCAAGGTGAGGAAGGGAGTGGGGCAGCAGCTGGGGCAGGCACCGCCCAGCCAGGGTAGGGCGGGACATGGGACCGATCTGCATCTCATCTGGGGAGCACAGGGAGGGGGCAAGGTGTGTGCCCCCACATTTGAGCCAGGCAGAGCAAGGCGGGCTGCAGGTATAGGTTTGGGCTGGGGTTGTGCCAGGTTCTTCCCAGAGGGGGCTGGGTCAGGCTGTGCTTGGGACATGTGGTGGTGCTGGGAGGAGGCATGGGGGGGGGCGCTACAGCAAAATTTGGGGTGGCTGCATCCCCCTCCCATTGCCACCTGCCCTGAACGCAGCCTGGCCCGGCCCCTGCCAGGAAGAGTCTGGTGCTGCCCCAGCCTATAGCTGCAACCTGCCCTGCCCCACCCTGTGCAGATATGGGGGCACACGTGTCACCGCCACCACCTTCTCCTGTGCCTCCCCAGGGTGTGCGCAGTACCAGGAGCCACCCCAGCCCCACCCCAGCTAGGCAGCACCTGCCCCAGCCCCACCCTCACTGCCTTCCTCACTGCGAGGGGCCTTGATCTGCCCCTCCCCCTTCCCCTATTGCCACCTGCCCTGAACGCAGCCTGGCCCGGCCCCTGCCAGGAAGAGTCTGGTGCTGCCCCAGCCTATAGCTGCAACATGCCCTGCCCCACCCTGTGCAGATATGGGGGCACACGGGTCACCGCCACCACCTTCTCCTGTGCCTCCCCAGGGTGTGCGCAGTACCAGGAGCCACCCCAGCCCCACCCCAGCTAGGCAGCACCTGCCCCAGCCCCACCCTCACTGCCTTCCTCACTGCGAGGGGCCTTGATCTGCCCCTCCCCCTTCCCCTTCCTCCACTACAGACTTGCCAGCTGCCTGCAGCTCTCCATGCTGCCGAGCCTTGCTGCCTGCGTGCCTGGGCATTTATTGGCCAAATTATCAGCCCGTGTCACCGCCACCACCTTCTCCTGTGCCTCCCCAGGGTGTGCGCAGTACCAGGAGCCACCCCAGCCCCACCCCAGCTAGGCAGCACCTGCCCCAGCCCCACCCTCACTGCCTTCCTCACTGCGAGGGGCCTTGATCTGCCCCTCCCCCTTCCCCTTCCTCCACTACAGACTTGCCAGCTGCCTGCAGCTCTCCATGCTGCCGAGCCTTGCTGCCTGCGTGCCTGGGCATTTATTGGCCAAATTATCAGCCACATCAGGCCGATTTCTGATACAGTTAATTTTCTTTATATTGGTGCCGATCCAATATCAGACCAATGTATCAGTGCACCTCTAGTTAATTCAGACAACTAAAAAGTTCCGGATAATATTGGCTCAGTGAAGACTATTCAGAATATTTTTAATAGTGTTTGAACATCTTAGTGTCCAAAATTACAGTGTATATGTTGGCTTTGACAGGATTATGCCTTTGCAAACTCTATCCAAACAATGCTGTTCTAGCTCCAAATGAACAAGAAGACAATTGCTGTTTATTTTATATTGTCTGTGCTTACTATGCAAAATTAAATGTTTAAAAAGTCAACTTAATTTTTGTAAATTATTTTTGTGGTGCTACTTTAAATCCTTCACAGGAAGATACTGATTTATTACGTAACAAATTGTAACTTCCACTTTAGGCAGCTATTTTCAAATACATCTCAAGCTTTTCTGCGGAGTCAGAGAGTGTACAATTTCTTCCAGTCAGTTTCATCAGAATCTTTGCACACTCATGGTAAGAAATGTTTAAAGATTATTTTATATAATATGAATGTGTTGTAAGATTTATTCTGCTACCCCAGTTGTTTTTTATTATTCTGTAATTTGCATTCTTATTCTTCTGGTCATCATTTCCCCTTAAGGCTAGCCAAATTCTGACTGAATGAAGAGAGAGGCTGCAGGATATCATTTTCATTTTTTTTGGTTGTTCTGAACTTGTGTATGCCTACCAATTGGCAGCTTTATTCTTTTATATATATAATTGTCTTGGCTGTTCATAGTATGGTTTCCTTTCCAGTGACAAGAGTGCTGGAGGTATACAAAGCTGAATTGGAAGTATTAGTTCGGCTTTCATAAATCATGACATTGAATATCTTTTATTTGAGGGAAATCTTTCGTTTGCCATACCAGTGTGCTAGCAATACTGAAAACGTAGGTTTTTGACCTTGGCCTACACTTGTAGAGCTTGAGTAATGGCCTGCAAGACCTCATCGGGGAAAGCAGTATGTCCTTTACAGGCATTTTAAAGGAGAGTAGTAACCAGTGTACAACTGTCTTGTTACTTTACTTTGTTCAGGGAGCATCTGTCATGGTAATAGATGTGGAACAATTTAAGAGGAGAATGAAGATCATCAATTCCTTCATAGATATGTTTTGTTGAATGCTTCAGTGCTTAAAGCAGGATTTGCATTAGTTGTACATCATGTTAACCTGGGGCAAATTTGTCTCTAAAGGATATTGGATCTTGTCTAGAGTCAGTTTGGGATCCAAATAGATAAATGCCCTGGCAGGGCATTTTATGCCAGACAACTGCTCAGGTCATTGGTACAGGAGTAAGTTACCTTGAGGAACTTACAGCACGTTTACCTATCCATGTGCTCACTTCAACTCCCACCATAGTTTTTTGGAGCTGAGCACACCCAGTACTGACTGTGTTGACCACAAGATTTCCCCTAGTATTCTCAGGCTCCCAAGAAGGTGCAAACAGCAGTTTTCAGAGGTGTGTGATTGGGCCAATTCTGGATGATCTTATAATTGACAGGAAAATGTACTGAACTCAGAGCAGATGCTACCAGAGCAAAGGCCTTCTGAGGCAGAGAAGTGTTTTATTTAAAACACAGAAAATTCCTACACTTAAATATTGAGAGAGAAATTCCTCTTATTCCCTCTTTCCACCCAAACCTTTCTCCTTCCACCCCAGTCCTCTTTGCCCAAACAAAAATGGGTGGCTTGGCAGTTTTAGTCGTTCTTGAAGGTGAGGGCTTGTAGTGGAACATCAGTGACACCTGTAGCTGTTTTTTTTACCTGTACTTAAAATTATCTACCATTTCCATTGTGAAAAGACTATAAAACCTTTCAGTCTGGCAAGTTTTCAAGGATAGTTTCACCTAAGTCAACTTGAGAATTGCCCCAGAATTTTATCTTGGTTTTAAAATGACATGTCTGTGCACACCTTCCCTAACTATAATCCACGTCTGGAGAGATTTGACAACTTGATATGCACCTTGTTCCATTTTTTTAATTACCTAACTACACAAGTATTTGGTATGTGCAGTAGTTTATATATAAACTTATAGTATGGTTCTTGGTTTTTTTTATATTTGTAGGAAGCTGTACCAGCATTTGTAGAAATGTATTTGTAGAAAGCTGTACCTGCTGTTTAGGCTACTTTGATCAGATGTAACTTGAAATCTGTTTCAAAAAGAGAGGAGCATTTTCCACACACAAGTGTGCATCATCTTTTCTGTTTGAAATGTTATGTACCACTACTAGAGCATCTAGATAAGTGGAGCAAAACTTTTGTAATTTTAACCTGTTTCATTTGGCATTAAAACAACTGTTTTGCTTTCCTTACACTGCTATAAGAGCAGATTGACACACACCATTAGCAGTTTTATTTCAGAATTTCTATTTTATGTCTGTCTATGCCCTGTGATTAGTGCATTGAGGGGGCAAGCACGTAACCACAAGATAATAGCATTTGCTTGTTCTTCCCTTACAGTAGTTTCAGCTTTGCAGAACTGCCTTTTTTTTTTTCCCCTTAAGTTAGCTACTGCAATTTTTTAGCAAGTTATTACATAAGTCTCACTTTGCAGGTAATTTACAGCCTTCTTTGAAAACCACTAAGATGTCAGAACACTTCAAGGAGGACAGTTCAGAGGCTTCCAGTCAGGAGGAAGGTATTTGTGCAAAGGGGGTTCTTCTATGAGAAATTTTACTAGGCTTCATTTTGGAAATGGTGATGTAGTCAACTAATTCTCCAAATCTCTTTGCTCATTTGGAGCATAAAAACTTCCATATAAATAGGCTTGGCAGAATTCAATTTTTATTTTTAATAATTTCAACAGATAGTATTGATTACTTTTAAGCATTTATTGTAATTATTTTTTAATAGATTTTAAAATTTTAGGATTACGTGAAATTAGGGCTGTGGGAGGCGCACACTTTAATGACAAACACCACTACTGTAGGACTACTGCCAGCTGATCAGCAGAGCTACCCTCAGTCCCAGCTCTGCATGCCTGTAGCTCCATTGTCCGCTTTGTCATTTCTTCTTCCTTTGTTCCCAGTCCCCTGGGGTTTCTAGGAGTTGCAGTCCAAAACTACATTCGGCATGATTCTGTAGGGACTGCTCCCTTCTGTCATGTCACACTCCATCAGCCATCTTTTTTCTTATGTCCCTTTTCAATTATTAACAATGGAAGTATTTTTTGTTAGTCTGTGTGCAGTGAAATCAACATTTATCAATATTTATCAATAAGAATAGAATCCTGCCAAGCATACATATAAACAGTGTTTTAGTAAATGTGTTACTGGATGCTTTTATTAATTTCATAGGGCTGTTGCATGTTTTTCTAGAGTGCCTGAAAATGAAAGGTTACAGCAAGGTTGAGAAACTAAGAATAATTGGTCTTACTATGGGCACTGTGATTCTTTGCGACTCCTTTGTGTCTCTACTTGTTTTCTGTGAACAGGTTACAAGCTGAGCTTAGTGCTGCAAGATATGTTGCGCTCTGTTTGGTTATCACTTATGTGTGCAAAACTTTGCTATCTTATTTGAAAATTTTCATAGCGTAATACTCTTTCCTTGATCCTGAAGCTGCACTCTACACTTCGGAATACTAGAGTCAAAAGATACTTAGGACTGTGATCAGCATCAGGAGCAAGAAAACTTTTACTTTTTTGACAGGATATAAATGGGGATCTATTCAGTTTGCAATCTCATGGTTTTTGCAGAAACCGTGAAAAGGACAGTTTCGGCAATTGCCCCACAAACTTGTGTTCCCCACAATTCTGCACAGAATTGCCGGGGGGAGGAGTGGGGAATCTTACTAAAAATAAAACGCTGGCTCCCCACTGGGAGCTAGCAGCTGCTGTGACGTGGCCTTGCAGCCTGCCAGGAGAGGTGGAGGGGAAGCTGCTGGCATGAAGGGGAGCAACCAAGATGTCAACTGCCCCATACTCCCTCTGCTGTTGTTTGGCCGACAGGAGAGTCTTTTATGCAGCCCTGCCCTTCCCTGCCAATCGGAGGTAAGGGGTGGTTCTGCATGAAGGGCAGCCCTCTATGCCAATCAGTAGTGAGAAGCAGAGCCACATGAAAGATGGCCCTCTGGGCCAGTTGGCACTAAGGGGTTGGGTTGCCAGGGAGGAGGTACTTGCTGCAAAAAGACCATGAAAATGGTGCCAGGCGCTGCAAGCAGCTTGCGATTTTTACTTTGCCCCTGCACACTTTAGGTAGATCCCTAGATATAAATGTGTAATAATTGAAGACCACTGCCTCAAGAAACTCGTCGTTTAAGTATAATAAAACCTGTGTAGTTTTTTCCACACCAGATGCTTCTAATTTTTGTTTGTTATGTTGAAATGCATTATCGGTGCAAGAGGCTTCTTATTCAGCAGTTAAGAACTTGCAGTAGACTGACTTGGACTTCCGAGGAGAAGTCTAGTACTTTGAAACTTGTACAATGTTTCTCTTTTTTTAATTGATTTATTATTTTTCCCTGACTTACTCCAATGCATGCAACCAGGGTACTTATACTTTAATTTATTGATCAAATAGAATAGTAGAAAACTAGGGGTGGAACGAATCTCAGGGGATCATCTAGTCCAGTGGTTCTCAACCTCTTTTCGTACCAGGATCCATTTATAACCAATGGCCAGTCCTGACCCACTGCCCCCAGGCCCTAGCCCCCCAGTATGTGGGGCAGAGTGGCGGGGGTGTGGGGCATGAAGGGCCCCGGGCAACCCCTTGCAGTCTGGAACTCTGCCAGCCTGTAAGGGAAAAGCTATGCTTTCCCATGTTTATCTCCTTCAAAGGAGAATCAGTTTTTGAAGTTTGTTTGAAACTTTTTCATACATTTTGGCAATCCGCTTTTTTGGGCACGACCCCCAGGTTGCTGATCTAGTCCAACCCCTGGTCAAAGCAGGACCATCCCCAACTATATCATCCCAGCCAAGGCTTTGTCTAGCTGGGCTTTTTATTTAAAAAAAAAATTAAAAAAAAAAAAAAAAAAAAAAATTCCATGGATGAAGATTCTGCAACCTCTCTTGGGTAGCCTGTTCCAGTGCTTCACTACCCTCCTGATTAGAAAATTTTGCCTAATATCTAACCTAAACTTCTTTTGCTGCAACTTAAGGCCATTGCTGCTGCTTCCACCACTGAGAACAGTCTAGTTCCATCCTCTCTAGAGCCTCCCTTCTGCTCCATCTTCTCCAATCTGTCTTGTACTATTTTAGTTCCCCTGTCTTCCTCCTGCTCCCCAATTTTTTTTATCTAGACTAAATAAGCCCAGCTTCTTCAGCTTCTCTTCAGGAGTCATGTGCCTCAGCCCCATCACTATCTTCATTGCCCTCCACTGGACTTTCTCCAATTTGTCTACATCCTTTCTGTAGTGGTGGGCCCAAAACTCCACACTACTTCAGATGTGGACTCACCAGTGCAGAATAGAGGGGAAGAATCCTTTCCCTCGACCTGCTGGCAACACTCCTACTAATGCAGCCCAGTATGCCATTAGCCTTCTTGACAACAAGGACACACTATAGGGTCATATTCAGCTTATTGTCCACTATAATCCTCAGGTCCATTTCTGCAGAACTGCTGCTTAGCCGGTTGGTCCCCAGCCTGTACCAGTACATGGGATTGATTTGTCCTAAGTCAGGGGTGTCCAACCTTTTTGAATGTGGGGCTGGATCATGAACTTTTTATCACCTAGTGGGCCGGCAGGGGCAGGTGCTCATGCACCTGTCCAGTCCAGCCATGGCCTGGGGGGGGCAGGGGTCAACGGGCACCGCCTGACCCCACTGTGTCCTCCCTGCCACCTGGGTGGCCTTGAGGATGCTTCCACACCTGCATGTCTGGGCTCAGCAGCCAGGGGGACATGCGGGGACCCTACAGGGGGGTGCGGGACGTGCAGGGACACCCCCTTGCTCCCTCTCCCCCGGGGCAGCCGGAGCCCGACCAGCAGGGCTCCATCACTCCCCAGGGCCCGTGACTCACCACCCCCAGCGTAATGTCTGCGGGCGCAGGGGGAGGCAGGAGTGGTGCCAGCTTCCCGCTCCAACAGCCCCAGCAGCGGCGGCAGCATCTCCCGTGGGCCCAGCCGCAGCATCCCTCCACGCCGGCGTTTGCACCTGCTCACACGCTGCACTGAAACCTGCTCCAGCCTGCGTGGCCGGTGGGACCAGTGCAGGGCGGGGCCAGCATGCAAATGAGGGAGGGCGGGGCTAGGATGGGACAGTGAAACGAAGGGAGAGGGTAGGAGCCACACCGCATCGGCAACGTCAAGCTGACACAGTGCACGTAGGAACCTTGTCCCTTCCCCAGCCCGTCAGCAGCTGTTAGGAAGCTGCTGGGGGAGGGACAAGGGGTGGGAACAAAAGTAAACATGTTTACTTTCGTTTCCCATTGCAGCACCATGGGCCACAGAAAATGGCTTGGCGGGGCGTATGTTGGACAAGCCTGGTATAAACTATTCTGCATGGCAGCCCTCAGGCCGTATGTTGGACAATCCTGTCCTAAGTGCAGGACTTTGCACTTCTGCTTATTGAACCTTATGAGATTTCTTTTGGTCCAGACCTCCAATTTGTTGAGTTTGTTCAGTCTCTGAATTGTAGTCCTTCTCTCCAGTGTATCTACTACTCTCCCCGGTTTGGTGTTATCAGAAACTTGCTGAGGGTGCACTCCATTCCACCTTCCAGGTCATTGATGAAGATATTGAATAAAAAATGCCCCAGGGAAGACCCTGGGACACTCTACTTGGTGCTGGCTGCCAACTAGACGTTGAGCCATTGATTTACTACGCTTTGAGGATGATGTGCCAGCCAATTTTCCCAAATACCACTGCTTGAGAAATGTATAGGTTGCTGTCTGTATTCTGTTTTCCAAAACATTAAAACTAAGTGTTCCAATCCTATCACTTTATTGATGTCAGTTAATTGTGCAGCTGTGCAGAGCCCAAATGGTCTGGTCACCTAGACGAGCATAAGAGGCTACAGCAATAGCAAGGATCCATTTCAAGATTCAGGCCTGTGGCCTTCATTGTGCTATTTGTTGTGCTTCAGTCATAACAAATAATTAAATAGCTTAAAATCTTTACTGGAGCAGACTGTAAAGTATAATGGGTGCAATTGTTGCTATCAGAACTGTTTATTTGTGTGGTTTTTTTTTTCTTTCCAGATGTCATGCAACATGCAGTGGTTCATAAGAAACTTAATGGGAAAAGTCCTGTCGCCAAGTAGGTATTGAATCTTTGAAGTGGATGCACATTGTTTTTAAAACCTAAATTACTTTTAACTTAGTAGGCATGTGTCCTTTTGAGTTAAAGCTTTTTTTAATTTTCATAAATATTAAAAAAGGTCTGTTTAATATATGTGTAAGAGGAAATGGGAGTCGGTTGAAGTCTTTTCTGGAAAATACTTAATGTTGCAGAACATTCACTTGTTTAACATGTAGGCTGGATAACCTCTACCTTTCTTTCCCAAAGATCCATGTTTTTGGGCAGGAGTTGGCAACCTTTTAGAGTGGTGGGCTGAGTCTTTGTGGCGTGGCTGCCACCACCAGCCACACACACCTTCAGTTGCAGGGCAGAGGGGTGAGGATGGGAAGAGAGGAAGAGAGCTTGTCTCTAGTATAAAGTGTCTGCCAGAGGAGAAGTGCTGCTTACCAAAGCGCCCTCTGCTGTAGGGAGAGCAGTAAGGTCTGCGGAGGGAATTGGTGGCTCAGCACAAGGGGGAAGACACATTGGGCTGAGCTGTGCTGCTCTTACCCTGTGCTGTGGGTTGGACCCCATCACTTCTAGGGACAGATCCAGCCTCCAGGCTATAGGTAACTGTTCTTGGGTATTTAAGTCTTGAGTGAGCTTTTCAGAACATGCTGATTGCAGAGATGTCTGGGATTGTCTCAAAAGCTAGCAGCACCCTGGAGATTCACAGAATGTTACAAGTGGTAGGTGACTGGGCAGGGGGGAAGTGTCTTTTTGGCAGCCCCAGTTTCCAAACCAGGACTTGGGGCTGCTCCCTGCTGGATCCTGGACCTGGGGTTTCCATCTGCTCTGCAACATACAGCTTTGTGTTCCTACCTGGTATGAGTCCACTGGCTGTCCCTGGCTGTGTGCTTCAAGAGTTGCATGATTGGGCATACAATTCCTCAAATCCTAATCCCCAAAATTATACATCTGGCATGATGATCCAAATCATGCAGTCATACTAATGTCTGCCAGCAGCCTCTGACTCCATACCAGGCGTTATGCCTATTGGTATAATGGATCAGGATTGAAGCCTTGCTTTATGAAACCCTGGCCCCCATTTCTGTAACTGGAAAAGTGTTCCTTGCTTTATCCCACTTGCTGGGATAGTAAAGTGTGATAGGATTCACCACATTGCACAGTCCATCTCTCAGATCTGTCAGCATAATTTTAATAAACTGGAAGTGGTACCTCTACAAGCTGCCAGATGGGAGACATTTTCTTGTCTCCCATCCAGAATCTTCTAGTCTTTATAAAGGGAGTAGAGGGACAGCATTGGAGACCTTTTGTCCTGCTTAGTTGCTGCAGGGACAGAAGTGTCCTGCTAAAAAGTCCTTTTTGTCTTCAAGTTGGACACAATTTCTGTTCCTATCTCTCTTTGGGTTTGTTAGTAATGGAGTCTCACCTAAGAGTGAGAGCGCTGTTAAGTGTTTGTCCAAACAAAGCTGTACTTCCTGGATCCTGGACAATACTGCTGTGGTGTAACAGTGGTGCATTTTAGGAAAACCTACACAGCATCCCTGCGTACTCTTTCCACACAGCTTGCTCACTGGGATAAGACTGGGTATGTGATATTCCCTGCCACTTCTACAAAAAAGAATGATCCCATAAAAAGGAACTACTACTTAAAATGCATTTAAAAACAAATTGTCATTGCAAAATACTGTCTCCAAGAATCTGAGACTATTTACTGTTACTCTTCTCTGTTTCCAGTCAACAATTGGGCACATCTGTGGGTGACAGTTGAACGATGGGTTATAGGTCTATATGCCCTATTGACTCCATAAGAAATCTTGTTAGAGCAGTGCATGTTGGCCATTATGTTCACGCTTAGTATCAGATTGTGTGTTGCCATGGGTAGTTTCAGCGGAAGGCATTACGAGACTTAAAGTAACTGGCAAATGCTTAATTCAGATTTCCAGTGTGCTTCAAAAGCAGTTAGCATAGTGAACAACCAGAAAGGTAATTGGAAATGCTTCCATGTGACTGCACTGAAGTAGAGTGGTAAGTGTGGTGTCTGGGGTTTCCTGTTTACATGCCCAAATGTCTTTTGAATTCCTGAAATAATACATATGTAGTCACAGTAAATATGTCCTTAAAGATGCGAGAGAGTGGACGTGAAAAAAATGAATTAGAGCAATTTAAATCTGGAAGAAATCTCTATTTTTTAAGTGCATGAGGTTTCATGATTATAAACACTACTATTAGCTATTAGGATATGCATATTGAAACCAGCTACCTTCTGCAACCTTAAGTTGTGTCAAGCTAGCTATGTAACAAGTAGCTATATTCAAGGAACACTTAATTGTCTTCATGGAACTAACTTATGTATGTTGCACAAGACCATAACTTTTTGCCTAGTGACATTTGGTGTTGAAACTAATTGAGAGAGTTTTTTTTTTCTCTTTTTTGCTAAAAGCACAGTAATTCCTTTACTTCCCAGAATTCAACTAAAATTGTATGTGCTTTGCTTTTAAGAAACTTTTGGAACTTCATCTTGTGTAATATAAAGGTTTTTTTAATTTAATTTTAGCACAACTAGCAGTACAAAATGCTCTTCTTTGGATGGCCTTAGCATACAGCACTCTGAACAGAATGGGGTAATAGACTGGGGAAGAAAAAGCTACAGCATCCAACAGCACGCAGAGCACTGTACAAACTTACTTGACCAGGTGTGTAGCTCCTTCTGGGTTTACATTTTTTAATTCAATGTTTCATGAAGAAATTATTCAGAAAACAGTTTAATTTCACTTTTATGCTAATTGTGCACATTTGAATTCAGAACATTTAAAAAATTTCAAGTGACCTGTGGTTTGAGTACTTGAGAAACCAGGCTGTGGAGGTTGAGCAGTCTTGCTATAAACTGATGCTTCTAAAGTAGTACTCGATGCATCTATTATACCACGCCTAAATTCAGGGGCAAATCCCAAAGTGGGTTCAATGGCACAACTGCACCCTCCCATTTCCACAGTGTAGCTCTGGGACATTGATTCCTTGCAGCCCTGGACCCTTGGGTTTACTGGAGTCTGGACCTCGCTGCCTGAGCAGCAGCTGGAAACTTATTTAAGTCCCTGAAGCAGGTAAGGGTTCCCATCCCCCGTGTCGTCTCCTTCTCCCTCTGTGCTCAGTGATACTTCATGTGGCACTTCCTCGCTTCCCCTCAGTGCTCAGTGGTACTTCCATTACTCCCCCCACTTTTACCCCCCCTCCCCTTCACCACAGCTGGGTGGGTTCCCCTTCTTTGTCTGGTTCTCCAGGACGTAGGCTCAGGGAAGAAGAATCCACCTGCTGCTGCTGTCCCTTACTGAGTCTGGGTCTCCATATGAGTGGCCAGGGCAGCAGTGGTGATGGTGGGCAGCAATCCACTATTTGTACCCAGTAGAGAGTATGAGGGGGGAATGGGAGAAGTCCTGCAGAGCACAGAGAAGAAGGCAGTGGGGAGCCGGTGTTGGACTAGTTACTTGCTTCAGAGACTTCAGCTCCCTGGCTGCTGCTCTTGCAGCGTGGTCTGTGTGTCTTTGTGTAGGGAGTGAGGAAGGGAAGGCTGGGGCCCACCTGCGGAGGTGCAGCCACCCTTGCAGTGACAGTCCCAGCTCTTTAGCCCCTCTGCATCTGCCTATGTCTGAATGGTATTATCAACTTAAATGCTGTAACCTTGGGTGATACAGTTGCCATGAAGCATGTATTTGTGACTGGGAGCTATTTTCACTTTTAATAGTAGCTGAAACATTGTGCTTGTAAGGATTTCAAGTGACAGTAATGAAAGTAATGACACGTGCATCATACACTTAAGTCATCTGTGTAGCGTGGGGCTACATCACCTTTTCATCACATAAGCAGAATTGGGTATTAATGGCTGAATTGGCCACTGCAAGCCAAATGTACAGAGTAATCCAGGCCATGGACAGATGTGACACCTGTGCTGCTACAGAAATAGAGTGGACAGATGTGCATGCCCTGCCATAAGGTTAATTTTTGGCCCCCAGGCTCCCATGTAGCCACTGCTTGCTCCGTTGCTCTGGCTGCAGCTCTACCCGGGGTCTCTGGGGTCTTCCTTCCTGCCCCTACCCTGGGAGGTGGGGATGGGTGGCATGGTATAGCCCATGGGTGATGGAGTGGCTCATAGCCTAGGGTGTTCACACAGCATGGTGCAGCAGGCCCATGATTGGGGGAGCTGAAAGTGGGCCCTGGGGGCCTGTATGGTATGTGAGGAAGGGGTGGCACAGGTGTGTAGCCCAGGAGTCCTGTAGCTCATGTGTACAGTCCTTGCTGCTGCAGCTCTCAAGGTAGGAGACCACCAAACACTTTAAAGACTGGATAGCCCTGACATAGATGTACCTGTATCCAAGTTTCTGCTGTTCAGTCTAGAAGTAATAGAGGCTGAGGTATACAAGCTTTAGGTGGTGAAACTTGAATGTTATACCAGAATGGGGAAAATACTACCTACTATTTAGGGACAATGGTGAATAAACATACTTTTTATGTTGAGAAAAATATTTATGTATCTTGTTTCCAGCAATCATGTAAACTATTTGGTTTATTCCTCCAAATATAGGTTAAATCCTGGGTTTTTTAACCACTAGCTAGTAGCACTCAGTCAAGGCAATGCGTAAGCATAAATTGTTTTCTTATGTTCAATCTAAAATGCATTTTAAATAGTTTGTGAATAGACTCTTTTTTATCTGTGTTGTAATTTACTTAGCTGCCTTAATTATGGGCTCTTAATGATGGGAAAAGTATCAAGGTTTCTACTTCAAAAGAAGTCTTAAATTTTGTAGGAACCCTCCATTTTTGTCCAGTCATAGGTTAAACTGTTCTTGCATGATTTTTATGATGGGAATTTCTTAATGTCATTTTGGTTTTTGCTCTAGCATGCAGGAGAGAAACGAAGTTTAGCTGCAATAAACAAGAAGGGAAAGCCACAGCTTGAAAAGTAGGTTTTTAATCTTACACTAACTTACTTTTTTTCACCAGTTATTAAATTATATAAATATAATGCATAACGTCAGTAAAAGTGTTTAATTTAGGTTGTGATGAAGCTTCTTTATTTTAATAATTGAGATTGGTTAGGGTTTGCACTTGATTTTCAGCAAATCCTTAAAGGCTTGATACCCTTTGTCAACCAACAGTTTTGTGTTTCTATTTCATAACTTAAGTCTTTTGTAAGTCTTAAATTGTGGACCTGTCAGTTTACATGTTTCTTATCTATCGATCAGATTAGGCATATACTTCCAGCTTTTTGCTTATGCTTCAAATTGGTTTAAAAAAAATTGGCATGTAAGCCACATTTTGAAAAGGGAGAATATTGTAAAGAACTAGTATAGCTAATGTAGAGACAAACATAGATACCTGTCACACAATTGCAAATTAGTGAAATGTATGAGGGGCAGAGGACAGATAAATAGGGATGTCAAAGTGGTATAGGATTGCCTTTTTCTGGCCAATTTTTGCTTCATGAAAGGCTAAAGTAAAACAATCCAACGTTTTCCTACAATCAGATGATGCTAGCTGACTGAAACCTATGACAGTTTGCTTTGCTGTAGAATGTATTAAATAAAATCGGCCCTAAAATTTGGATCAATTTCAGATCTTCTTGCAAGTGCAGTAGCCCATGAGAGTGACAGACTGTGTTTTTTTCCCCCCTCGTTGTATATTTCATTTTAAATGCAAATAATACATCTGCCATCCTTGCTGTTCAGTGCCCTAATGCCTGTAAATCCAATACTGGAGTTTGTCAACTATTCTTTATTCCCTGAGGAATGTTAACACTAATTCCTGCCTATTGTCTTGTCTCTAGTATATTTACCTGAATCCAAGATAATTTCAAATTTTTAAGATGCTTCCCCTAACAATCAGACTCTATACATGGACAATTTATGAGTTTGTTATAATTTTCTACATATACAATCTAATTATTTCAGGGTCATCTTAAATTTGTCCCCTAACTGCTGCTTTCCCTGCTGTAGTGGTAGAGAAGCAAGCAGCCTGGCTCCTTCCCTATAACCCCCTGCCACTTGCGCCTGTGCCCCTAGCATCTGCCCCCACTCTCGCACCCTTGCTGCTAACCCTCAGTTCTGGCCCCAGTTGCAGTCTAGGGCACAAAGTGCATAGAACTCTAGCCCCTGCCCAGCTAGGTAGCAGGGGTTGCAGTTGGTGGCAGCTCTGGCCCCAAGGTCAGGCCAGAGCAGCTGCCACCACTTCCACTGCTGCCTGGCTGGGATGATGCAGGTCAGAGCTGTGACCGAGGGTAAGTGGTGAGGGTGGGCGGGAGGAAGGGGGAAGAAATCTTGTCTTGGATTTAAGTAAATATGATACCTTAACTAGGTACTTTAATACCATTTGCAGTGTTGACCCCTGATCCTGGAATACATTCATTTCTAGAGGATTTTTGGAGGTTTCCAATGGAATTTCCATTATGTTTTGCTTAAACCCCTTGAAAAATGTCTTAACGTTTAATCTACACAGAGAGAAAATAAAGAAAACTGAAAGCAGATTGAGCAATAGAATAAATGGAGTAAGAATTGCAGCCACACAGCACATCCGTTCAGGGGCAGTGAAAGGTAAGAAATTCCTTTAAGGGAAAAGCTCCTTACCAGTTATACTAGCTTTTTGTCAGTATTACAGAAGAATATAAGCTTTAACCAGTAGAGTTTTGCATGTGTACTACATGCATTACTGCTGTCCAGGGTTTAAGTCCTCTGATGGAAGAACTGTAATGGTTAGGCAGAAAAATTATTAAAACAAAAAAGCATCTGCAATATGTGCTGCTACTGTTGCAGACGAGTCCTTAGGCCCCTACATGTATTATGTAATTCGGGGGTTCCCAACCTTTTTATTCAGTGGACTGGCAAACCGTGGACCAGAAGTGACCAGCATACTGTGGGCCAGCAGCCAACCCTTTTTTATACTGAGTATAGGTATAAGGTGATTTGCCTCTCCTCATTTTTTTCCCCCCACCCCTCCCCCCCAAGAAAAATGGAAGATGGGATGGTGGCAAGACACCAGTTACTCGGAGAATATTCACTTCTGTTTTGAGTCTGATTCAAATGCTTAAAAACAGAACCTCAAAGTGTGAAAGCCTATAATGATACCTGATCATATGGAATTGCAGTATTCAGTATTTCATTCAAAGTTTCCTTTTACTTTTGCAGCATAGCTAGTGGCCTTTCTTAGTCAAGTCACTGTCCATGTGTTTTTCAGCTAGAAAATAAATCTGAATTGCCATATTTTGAGGACTACTTCTGTATTCATTACCTAGCTCTCTAGAAGGCTTCTGGTGTAACAAGTTGTTATTTATGCTGAGAGCTCCTTGTGTGGTGGATAACTGGAGACTTTACTATCATTTTAGTACCGCCAGTTCAATTATATACATATTATCTAATGAATAAAACTTGTGGGAAAGCTGCCTTTACAGTGGAGACGGCTGATAAATACTTATCCTGTGGGACCTGGCTTTTTAGACTGTCAACGCCTAGTGGGGTTATAGGAATGCTTTGGGTATTTAGCATCTTAATTTCATGTGGCTGTTTTGGAATGTGATTTTTTTGCAGATGGTAAAGGCAATTTCCTTCTGGGCTTGTGCCTAATATCATATTCAAAATAGTATGTATGCCATATCTCAGTAAATATTGTTAGTCGGATGATCCTCTGATTCATGAAAGTGGATAAAATCAGATGTGATGGATGAGAATGCTGTTTTTGCTGCAGAAGCTGTTCTACCTGCAAAATATTACAGAATTCCTGAGCTTGTGAAAGAATTTTGCTACTTTACGTTTCTAGTACACAATTTCTGGGTTTCCTCAGGCCGTGAGAAACTGAAGTCAATGGGAGTTGCACAGATGATAAATTAGGGCAGAAATTAATCGGAAGACTGTGATGAAATTCTCAGTGGGGGACCCCTTTTAAGCTTTACAGTGAAATCTGTTATCCCTCTGAAGAATTGAGTTACATGTTGAACCCCACCCCCAGCACAGTAGCCTATTTCTGTATGTTCTTTGTTCCTCTTCAAATTAATTTTTATGGTTTTCCTGTTGCATTAAGAGCTAATGTCTTACTGTTTCCTTTACAGTTTGAGATTATATTAAAAATTATTGCAACCTTCAGGGCCCTGGTAAGGATGCCCTTCATCGCAGTAGAGCAGGGCAGGCAAAATACGCAGGCCGAATCTGGCCTACCAGGCAATTTCATCCTGCCAGCACCCACCAACTAATTGTACCCTGCCCAACCTGCGCATCTTAACACGCTGACATGTAACATGCTGGCATGCATCAACCGATGCATCTCATATAAAACTAAGGAAGCGATATTCGTGCTGTACTCAGCACTGGTGAGACCGCGTTTGGAGTACTGCGTCCCGTTCTGGGCACCACAGTTCAGTAAGGATGTGGAAAAACTAGAGAGGGTCCAGAAAAGAGCCACCCGTATGATCAAGGACTTGCAAGGCAAGCCATATGAGGAAAGGCTGAGGAACCTGGGCCTCTGTAGCCTAAAGAAGAGAAGGTTGAGAGGGGACTTGATTGCGGCTTACCGCTATATCAGAGGAGTGCATCATGAGCTTGGTGAACAACTGTTTGCTTGGGCACCCCGGGGAAGACCAAGACCAATGAATACAAACTCCTGGAAGGCCGCTTCAGGCTTAATACCAGGAAAAACTCCTTCCCAGTCAGGGTGTCCAGACTGGAATAAACTCCCTCCAGTGGTGGTGCAGTCACTTACCCTGGAGGCTTTCAAGAGGAGACTGGACAGTCACCTTGCTGGGATCACTTGATCCCATATGTCTTCCTGCCTAGAGCTGGGAGGCTGGACCCGATGATCTGCGAGGTCCCTTCTGGCCCCAACAATCTATAGATCTTGCTTCCACCCTCATGGGTGGAAGGGCCCGTCCCAGCCAGCACGCAGCTTCTGGGTGGGGCTGCTGCTGTCACAGCTGCAGCTGCTGGGGGACCTTTGCTTCCCCAACGTCCTGCTCGCTCCAGGCACCAGGTAGGGAAGTGGCAGGGGGGGTTGCTGCAGATGTGTGGGAGCATGGGGCTGGCAGCTGCAAGTGTGGAGCTTGAGGTGGGGGGACCCTCTCCCACACATTCCCCCCTGTGGAGCACAGTTCCCAGCAGCAGCAGCAGCAGGTGGCAGGCGTTTGGAGTGCTTGTGGCCTGCGCAGGTGCTGCCACCTGGCGGCACACAGCACCACCTAGTGCTGCACATGATGGTGAGGAGTGCATCCTGGCAGACTCGCTTTCATCACGTGGCGCCCTGCGCCATGGGGGAAGCCCCATGCAGTGAAGCTGGCTGCCTTTCCCACCCCCTGCCATGCAGGTACTGCAGCTCAGCTAGAAAGCCAGGAACAGGGCTCCCGCCACTTCCAGCAGAGTTCCAGGACCTGTACAGCAAAGAGCAACAAAGGCAGCTGGCTTCATCACACGGGTCTTCCCCCAGTGGTGCGCTAGTGCTCGGAGCTGCATGCCAGCCGTGCGGTGCCCCACTCAATAAAGATGGGCTGGCCTGGATGCCTCCTTGCCACCACGTGCACCACCGGTGGGGGCTGTGCGCCATAGGGGAGGAGTGGGGGCAGGGGTCACCCACCCCCCAGCATACCCTATTGCCTCCCCACACACAGCCACACCCTCTCACAGGCCACCCTACACACACCACCAACCACACACCCTCCACACACAATATACAAGAGTAAGACTTTATTTTTGAGTTATAAAATCACTTCTATATACAGTATGCAAACACACATCATAACGAATATTTTTGTAATAAAATTAAAATGTTATAGTAGGTGTTTGACTTTTAGCGTATGATCCGGGTTTTTTTTCTGGTTCCAGATGGCAACCCTCCCCTCTCAAAAGGAGTACTTCTGGGGGGGGGCAAGAGGAGGAACTTCTGGTGGCAAAGGTCAGAGGTTAGGGGGTGGGACCACCTGTCAAGGAGTGGGGCTACCCTTGCGGCCCTCAACAATTCACCAAAACCCAAAATGGCCCTCCAGCTGAAATAATTTCCTACCCCTGCAGTAGTGTCAAGTAGTTTACATATGCTAACTGGTGGTTTGCTTTAAAGCTAGTATGGTCAGAGCTCCTTTGCACATCCCTCCTTTCAGAACTGCTTGTCTTCTCTTCTTTCCACTCCAGATCATTGGTTAGTAGGATCGTAGTATTGAAGGTAACAGTTCGGCCATTCATTAAGAAAAAAATAGTAGTTTAATCCTCTTTTATGGCATTTTAACAACCTGGAAAACTTGAATCTCTTAAAGCTTACTCTCACCCACCTGCAACCCTTTTTCTTTCCTTAGCTGTTTCTCAAGCCTTTCTCTTCCTTCCTATCCATTCCTTTTTTTTATATCTGGCTGTTCCCTGAGCTGGCAATATATTAGGACCTGGATTATTCATGTCTGGGTAGTTTGGAACCTGTTTAATTCTCAGCAAGTTACTGAATTAAAGATGAGCCACTCAGCTGTTTGCTGCAGCTTTTACTTCAAAGGATGCAACTATTTTGATCTGTTGGAGTTCCTCAATAGTCCCACACAGCTGATTAGAGAAGCAGTGCCTTTTACAGTAAAAGCTGCAGAAATCAGCTGGTACACTTCAGTGATCTGTAACTGTTTGCACAGGTGTATATACCTTCAGGTAGTTTGAAAACCTTCATCTTGTAGCTATTGATAATTAGTGTTGTAATCTTGTACATGTATAGTTAATGCCAGGTACTTGAATTTTCTATTGTTAGAGCAGCAAACACTGATTTTTTTTTAAAAAAAATCAAATGTTATGCTAATTCTTAAGCATGCGTATAGAATTTCAGACAATTTTTACATAACCCAAATTTCGTTAAGTTGAATAGTAATTGGATTCTTGCTACCTGCTAGATATGCTTGTACATTGCCTGTTCCTGTTACTCGCACATTGGTTTGATAAGGGCAAAGACTATAGATGAGAGACATGAACTCCACTCCTGTCAAAGCATCCTTTTAAGAGAGAACACAAAGCCGTTGCATGGAATAGGTAGTTAGTTGCCTTTTCTTGCCTTGCAGAGTTCAGTTTCCTCAGGGTGGTAATCAGGCACTCAAACTTACAAATTTTCCATATATAGAATCTAATTATTGGGGAGTCCTCTTAAATTTGAAGCTGTTGTGGATTTGGGTAAATACAGTATAATAAGATCTAAGAATTAATCTGTCCTCAAAGTCTGGTGAATGCAACACATGAAACACAGACTAACACTTAAATCTGAACTAGCAGGCCATGAGTAATCCCAGGCACTATATGCATTGTGATGCAAAATAAAGAGATTCCCCTTTCGTTTTTAGATCTGAATTTGGATATTGGTTCTGGACATGACACGTGTGGAGAAACTTCTTCAGAAGGTTACAGTTCTCCTTCTAGCCCACGGCATGATGGGAGGGAAGAAAGCTTTGAAAGTGAAGAAGAAAAAGACAGAGGTTGGATTTGTGCAGTGTTATGCATGTTGATACTCATTTCCTATCTCAGTAGGACCTAAAATAGCTTGACCACTTTAAACGCAAACCAGTGTTCCAGAAACATCTTTATTCCTGTAAACACTACTTTATGTGAATTTGTTGCCTTTAGTCATTCTGTGCAATCAGTCACTCCCTTGCCAGTTGGTTGGTATTCAGATTTTTACTGCTGTTTTAAAATCTTGTTTAACTTCAGATTCGGGATATATCCCGTTTTCTACCTTACTAAGAAATGTATAAACTTCAGTAAGGTTTTCTCTTAATTCTTTCTGAACTCAACTACATAATCAACATTTTTAATTTAAGAAAATTATTGATAACATGGGATCTTCTGGATATAATTCTTGACATGCAGATGTTGCCTGGAAAAACATCCCCAATTATTGTATGCCCTTCCATTCAGTTTGCTGCACAGGCTTCCTCTATGTATACATTTTTGGAGTGCCTCCAGTATTGATAGCAGACTACCTAGACATTTGTTCTGCAGTATTAATACATGAAAACAAAAGATGATGCTCATCTTTGTCTTATGGTCCTTATTATACTATAACCAAGGAGAGTGGGGGAAGATACGGTTCATAGATTCTGTAGCAATCTTATATTCCTTCTGATAAGGACCAAGGCTTTAGGAAAGGAGAGTAGCTTTTTCTCTTTACAAAAAAAACTGTGTAATGTTTTCATTGAAAACAAATCCATGAAAGGTTTTATATAAGGGCCCTGGCAGATGTCACAGTTATCTTGTGATTATCATACCACATGTTCAGCCAATTTATCACATGATAAAACGGCAAACAAGCCACAAAGATGTTCCACATTGAACGTGGAACATCTTTGGCTGGTTTGTTTAGTGCTTTAATTTTGAATGTGTGGCACGCAGCCGACCAATGCGCCATGTGGCATGCCTTGAAATGTCCCCACATGCATTACTGCCATGCATTTCTGGTCCTAAATCACAGCATTATCTATTTGTGTGTTTTAGATTTTGAGATTGCTTGAGTTTTACAGTGCAGTAGATCAAAATGTTTTGACTGACCTAAAAGGAGCCAAGAAGTTCTATGCTTGAAATCTCAATTCCTTGTCTTGTATCATGTCAGCCTACTCACGTTCTGGAGCAATGACAGTCTTGCACTTTCCTAGGTAGATGACCACAGCTTCTAGTTTTTGTGACTTCCACTCATATAGAATGCCAAAGGCAACTAGTCTCATGGGTTTGGGGTAAGGAAGCAGTAGGGAGCAAGGCAATAAACCCTCAGCCTTTTTATAGAGGGAATCAAACCTATTTGAAATGGCAAGGTAGATAAACTACCTCCAAATATAGTCTCAAAAAAAATGAAACCAGTAGATTTTATGACATAAGTTAATGTGAATAAATATTGGTCCTGGGAGGAGACATAGAAGAGGTTTTCAGAAGCATGCACTTATGATTCTTCCCCTTCCTCCCCTGCCCCCACCACGCTTTGTCTTCACAGACACAGACAGCAATTCTGAAGACTCTGGGAAACGAAATGCAACCAGGTTTACAGGTTATGGTACTGTCGATCCATCGAATATCAACAAATCGGTTTCTCAGATTTCTTCAGCAAGTAATGAAAATGGAAGCACTTCAGAGGTTCCTTTGAATTCTAAGTTTCAGCATATTTCCTTTATGTCTGCCTTACACTGTGTGATGCACAATGGTGCCCAGAAGCCTGAAGCGGTAGTCCCACCACCCATATCTGCTGACAGTAAAACAATGGAGATGCTTGTTACCACTCCTGTTGCTACATCACCACTAAGAGAATCTGCAAATCCAACTCCAGGCGGATTGGGGTCAGTGACTTCTGGTGAATCTGAGAAACGCCTTGAGCTGTTGGCTTCCCCTCTACAAGTCCCACCTACTTTCCTTCCCCAACCTGGTAGCCCAGCTTTGCACTTGGCAATACAGAGACTGAAAATTCCCTCTCCACAGGGATCGTCAGAGAGTTGCACAGTTAATGGACCACAACAGCCAACAGGAAACTTAAGCATTGGATCACCAAATACTGCCTTTATCCCAGTCCACAACCCAGGTAGTTTTCCAGGATCCCCAGTTCCTACTACAGATACCGTCACAAAACCTGCAGCCCAGGTGATAGGACTGAATCAAATGGTGCCTCATATTGAGGGAAACACAGGAGCAATCCCTCAGCCTACCAGTCTTAAGGTAGTTCTTCCAGCAGCTGGTCTTTCAACAGCCCCACCGCCACCTCCACCAGTTTCATATCCTTTGCCAGGCAGTCCTCATGCTACCAGTGTGTTGCCCAACCAGAATACAAATGTGCTAAATACTGTAGCAACTTCATCACCTCCTCAGTCAGCTAGTCTAGGTGTTGGCCAGATCCAGTCCTCTGTTCCTCCTGCAATACCTACCCATACACCAGGCCCTGCCCCTAGCCCAAGCCCTGCTTTAACACACAGCACTGCACAGAGTGACAGCACATCCTATATAAATGCTGTTGGAAACACTAACACTAATGGAACTATATTGCCACCCCAGCAGTTGGGGTCAGGGACCTGTGGGTCTTGTGGACGTAGATGTAGCTGTGGGACCAATGGAAGCCTTCAGATCAGTAATTATTATTATCATAACCCACTTCATGGACAAGTCTACAGAGTTCCACCTTTCTTCCCTCTGCCATCTCTTTGCAATGGCAGCTACCTCAACCAAGCACATCAAAGCAATGGAACACAACTTCCTTTTTTCCTGCCTCAGACTCCATATGCAAATGGGCTTATGCATGACCCAGTAATGGGGAGCCAAGCCAACTATGGTATGCAGCAGATGGCAGGATTTGGGAGGTTCTATTCAGTATATCCAGCACCTAACGTAGTTGCCAACACAAATGGATCAGGGCCCAAGAAGAATGGGAATGTTTCATGTTACAATTGTGGTGTAAGTGGACATTATGCGCAGGACTGTAAGCAGTCATCCATGGAGGCCAATCAACAAGGTAATCATGATAACTCCCAACGGACTTGCTTTTGAGTTTCAGTTTCTCTTTATCTGACTGACCATGCTGTTTCCATTCTTTCAGAAATGTGCGTGCATGTGTGTGTGTATGTGTGCGTGTCTGCAAATGTGCATAAGTGATCTGCTATAAAATTTCAGATTAGTTTATCTATGTCCATTAATTCTGTAGAGCACTGTGTGGGAATATGTTCACAAGCATTATATTTAAATGAGATACGATATAGGGCTAGGAAGTTAAATCGTACCAAATCTAAATTTTCCACGGGGCTTTTGGCATAATGTTGAGACTTGCACATTAAAGTTGGTTCTCTCACTCATTCCCTATCAAAGGTGTGGCATATAATTCAGCATTGAAAAGGACTAGAAATCATCAAGTGCTACGTGTGATACAAACCATATATTTTTAAGATACATGTGGATTCAGAAAATGAAATGACTGCGCTCATTTCTAGTTTTTGCTAAAGCTTGCTTTTGCACAAGTCATCTTCCCACACCCCCTCCGTACCACATGATTAGTTAGACTTTTGAGACAGTTGCAGCAAAGAGAACCACATAAGATACCAAGAAATGAAGATGAAGGGAAGTATCTGGTTTCATGATTTCGGTCTTTTTTTTTGTTTTTTCCTTCAAAAGAGTGGGGGCAAATGCACAGTGTTTGTCTGTTTGTTTGTTTAGACTACTAGCTACTTTGTTCTCTTTCTGATCCATAGTGTGTGGTCCACTGTGACCTAATCGTTTTGCCAGACTTGAACAGAAGAGACTAATTGTGGAGGTTTGGGGGTTTGGGCTTGTTTGTTTGTTTTCTGTGGTGACGTCTTAAATGTATAGGGATGGATTTATTTTTAAAAGTGACATTTTAGCAAAGACATGGAATTTTGCGGAGCTGCTTCAAATAGGACTGGAGAATAAGATGGTGCCTTTTGAAGAGCATGTCCATTTTGATACCTTATGGTGGTGTTGTAATCCATTTGATTCCAAACAGTGACTCAGTAGTTCTCTTTCCTGTTTTAGGCACTTACAGACTGAGATACGCACCTCCCCCTCCCCCTTCCAATGATACGTTGGATTCTGCAGACTGAAACAAGTAAACATTGCCTACTTAAACTGAAGCTGGGAAATTGTGGGGCAGGGGGGAGGGTTCTTTGACCTTGTGTTTGGGACATTCCCAGTTTTATATTCTTTTTGGAATTTTTCATTGCTTTTGCACCTCCGTTCCAATACAAAAGAAGAAAGCTGAGTCCCCGGTCTCCTGGTTCTACAAGTCTTGCCTAATGCATGTAATTCAAACTAACAGCCAAACAATCAAAAAGAGCATTTGAACCATACTTTTGCACTGAAGACTTGAGACATGTGCAATGTTTACTACATTTAAAAAAAAAAAAAAAAAAGTCCTCTGACCTCTGACATCACTGATGGAGCAGCCATATGGTGAAAGAAGAAACTTAGTCATATTTTCCCACAATCTTTCCCCCCTCCTCATTCTCCTTATGCTGCTGGTTTTCTTTTCTCACCCTCACTTTGTCCACATGGTTTCATTGCACTGAACAAGTGTTTGGCTGTTTATACAGACCTTGTCCATATTCTAAATCATTACACTCCTAAACTGAGGGAAAACTGTTTACTCATTGTATTAGGGGAGACTACCAAAACACAGAATAGTGTATATGTACTATATTATAGATAATACATATACATAGCTGTTGTGAGTCTCAAATCAACAAATTACTTGGTATGGGAAGGAGTTGAAACTGTGTGGACTTGAAAAGATTTATGAAAATGAACACATTTAAAAAAGATTTTACATCCATTGTAGCTTTTTAGCCTCTTTTTTCAGAGATAGTAAAAAACAAAAAACAAACCTGGTATGAATGTTGTAATCAGCGTGTTTGCATTTGTAATGAAAGTTGACAGCAAGGTCGTTCCCTTTTTTTAAGCTATTCGACTTCCGTGTCAACACAGAATGAATGTTATTTGATTGAAGTTTTTTTTTTTTTTTTTTTTTTTCCCCTGAACTGTTACAGTGTTGCATTGTATTGAGAATGTAAATGGTTTATTTCAAACTGAACAAAAATTAAGATTTTCTACAAAATAAAGTCAGGTATTGGTATAATTAGAACCTGTCTACCAAATAGCAAAGTCACTATTTTATAACAGTTCACCACTATGCGTGATTATGGTATAATGTGAAAGACTGAAATGAGTGCTAAGATGGTATTAATCATGTCACTAAGTTTAATGCTGCTGTATTTTTTTTATTTTATTTTTTAAAGCCAATATATGTACTAAATTGCTTCCAGGTAATATTTGATTTCCTAAAGTGCACTGAGGTTATCTGGAAGATGAGTGTATTTTTGACTGCTGCATTCAACACCGATGAACAACTACCACTGTATTATCCATAGGATTCTGGCATTCCTCGCAGTTCATGACAGAAGCAAAAGGAGGGTATTTTTGTTGTTGTTTAAGACTAGTATGCAGTAGAGGGACATAAGTAAAATTCAGTCTTTGATTCAGCTGGCTAATAATAAATTTGCTAAACAAAAAAAAAAAAAAAAACTTGAAGGGAAAAAAAAAGCTTGATTACTACATTTGTTCATAGGTAGCATTTATATTTATAGCACCAGTGTACATTTTGAAACTTTTCTTTGGGGGAGGGAGGTAGATGAAAGCTTTAATTTAAAAGGAGAAAGTTTAAGTAGTAAATGGAAATTATTTTGATTAAATATTTTATTTGATCTCGGTATTTTTGGACCACGATAAATGAATTAACTGCGTTGGTGAGGGTGTTAAAGCACCAATGGGCTCGCATTGTGAATTACCTGCCAGTTGTACTTTACGGAACTTATTTTATGATTTAAAATACTGTACTGTAAATAGGAGGTATGTTACCTTCTCTTTATTTGTATGTTTACCATATACTTTGATATTTGAAATGTACTGGAAAGGTCACTTATATTTCTAGAAGAGATTGGATTTTATGCAACCTTTTTTCCTTGAATTAACAGCAATAAAAAAAGAAAAAAGCATCTGTCTGCAAGTACTATACTTAATCCTTCATAACAATGAAGGACTAGTGGTGCCTTCTCATTTTGGTGCGTGATAGCAGCTTCCAGCTGAATAAGTACCTTGTTGTGTCTCACTAGCAAAGCAGTCCAGGTATAGAGTGTTAGGATATAAATGCTGTTCTTTCCTTAAGACAAGATGCTAAGTTTTGGACGAAGTAATAGTGATGAGAGCTT